AGTAAGGACCACAAGGGGTGCATGAGATTTCATCACTTGTTGCGCAGCCGGGATGGAAGTAGGACGCAGAATTGGGCCGGCGACCCGTGACCCCGCGGTCCGCCCGCGCCCGCTTACAGGTGGACTTACAGTCAACGAACCCCCCTGTCCCGATTCCCAGGGTCTCTTTTTGAAATAAAATCAATCAATTTATGAAGTCTGATACACTTCATTTACCTTGTCAGTGCGGACAATATTATTGGATTTAAAACTTTAGGTAATAAAGTTTTTTGTACGGACGGCAGCATATCAAGCTGCACATTGCCGGACCTTGTTCCCTTGCCTTTGAGGAACAACTCCTATTTGTTACATCAAAAGCTTCACTACCTCTAAAAAGCGGGAAATCGGCCTTAAAACAGTCATGCAGCGGGAAAGGAAACTGTTACTTTACAAGTTCAGCAAGCGCAGAAAATGAGCTCAACAATGTAGCGCGATTAAAGTATTCAAGATTACAAGCCCACCTGTTTAACAAAAAGGTCTTGAGTTAAGTTTTCCTCATGTGAAATAGACGAACGTACCTATAATTTCACCTAATTTTGAGCGACGATGTTACGCATTTGTCTAGTAAATGTCTATTTACTAGCCTTGAACACCCCCAGTTCGCAGCTTTTGCACAACACAGACACCACCACCGACAAAGTATTCCTTTCATTTGCCGTAAGCGTCAGGAAGGACGAAGCCAAGCGCTTCGTATGACAAGAATGGAGTGCTCCGGATTTTCTAGTAAACCGTAAAGGGAACGCTAACGGTAAGGGTGGAACTAAATTGTTAAGTTCTTGCTCGACTCTCCGAAATGTATAGAGTTCATATGAGTTTCTGTTCCTTTGAAGAGTGTAAGCCTAAATTGTTGACCTTGTGTTGTCATTTACATCTCAATATTCCTCCAAAAACTTATCTCGACAATAAAAGCAAGTTCTTGAATAAACAGGTAGTATAATTTATCAAACAATAAAGAGCTTAAAATGTTTTCACAGCTACTGGCTACAAAAACGCACCAACCTGACTGGCAGACAATATCAATCATACGTTATTCATGGAAAAGACCATTAATATTTTTGGCAGTACGATGATCTTGCGTTTTATATTATCAAACTAATTTGACACACATTATAGTGCTATAGGCTTTCACAGAAGTGACGAGGCAGCGAATCGTTTTTCAGACAGGCATACAAAAGACGTAGTTAGCCGAAGTATGCTTCAAAATCAACGCAACAGTATTTTGTGATGAGTGTAATAAGTAACTGTTAGTTAATTCGGTAATTTTAATCACAATTATCGAAACAACTTTGGTATTAACTACACAAAGAAATTATTACGAATAACTGAAGTACTTCATTGTTTTTATTTTTATTTAGATGGCATGACAACTTAATTCTCAGAATTCGTTTTACCAAGTCTTTTTGAACATAAGTTCAATAATTCTAGGACTCGGCACGCGGTGGTCACGCCGCGCGCTGGCTACTGTCCAAAACGCTATTGCAGATGGACAATTTGAGTTTTGCTCGTTGGGTCGTAATTGCCGCGCGTATATGAATAGTTAGTTTGCTACGTCCGCCTTTTGCCGCATCTGTTTTATAAATGGATATGTCAAAAATGCTGACTCTATTTTGCGTTGTAGAAATTGAGAATGGTCAATGCAAATTGTGTTCGTTAGCATCCAAGAATCCAACAAGAAATTTAATTTCGAGTAGGTATCTACTGGTTCATAAGTAATAAGGTTACACACTTGTTTATGCATCGATATTCTTATAGCAGGACTAGAGTCAGTATTTGCCTAACGAAAAATCCACAAGACTACCTTGGAATTTCAAGTGTCAGAAGGTTTCGTGTTTTAGACAACCCTGTTACGGAAATCTGGATTAAACAACAAGAAGTTTCAGAAAAAAAAAACATTTTCAAAATGACTTTTACTTAACTAGATGAACAAGTTTGTTTTTAAGACGAGACGTCCAAGGTCACAGCGGAATCACAATAGTCACAATTTGCGCTCCAATGGCCGGCGACCTTTTTGAATTAGTTCCAAGTGGTGCTCACGGGTAGTTTGAAGTTTCCGAACAGAGTAATAACAATGACAAAAATTGTGAATGCCTCCACATTCCTGGTAAATATGGTACACTTACAATCAAATTTCATTTACTTACAACAACATTATCAATCTCAAACTGTAAACTAATGAGCCGATCCCATCTTATCAAACTATAATTTCCAAATAGACAAGTGATTTAAAGTAATTGAGAACTAACTACCTATTTTATATATATAGTAACCATTTTCACACACATTATTTTCATATGTAATAGTGCTTAACCGTTACGTAATTCGCTCGCGGCTTCCATTTGAACCAACCTCAAGATTACAGTTACCACAAAGTGCTCCTGCAAATTACCTAGATGCAGCAGCGTTTTTGTGCAACGACTTTATGCGGCAAGGCATCGCCCCGCCCGCGCCCTGCTGCCGCCCGGCGCCAACGGGGCTGTTCGCTTCATACTTATTGCCTTTGCTTGTTTCTTTTTTGTACTTTTTAACAGCTCTGTTTCACGCGGTTTTATTCAAAATTTTAGTTTTACTCTACACGGGTTTTTGCAGCTTTAAAGTAAAAAAGAATTGAATATACAGTTAGGTACGACTCGTCCGCGTAATGTTAAATCCTGTAAAGTGCGCCTTTCACAATGCTTAATGGAAAATGGAATTGGTTTTATTAAAGCTCCTTTTAAACCAAATGGAACGAGATCAAATATCCGTTTCAGGCGTTTGAGGAAAAAATATGTCGAGCTTTGGTGCTCTCCCGAGGATGCAGGATAACATACTTATGTATACACGTTAATATTTGCGAAGCTCTCGTCACGCGGAATATTTATGTTAAGTACATGATCAAAACCGTACGCAGCGGGCCTGGCCCCATAAAATTGATAGCATTGGATAGGTATCGTAGTTCGACCCGGCTTTTGGGATAACCCAAAAGCCGGGTCGAACTACTATACCTAACTCCATGAATACCTAAACAGCTTAACGAGACAAAAGATGCGGGATAATTCGGTATTTCAATAAAGCTCCGGATTATAGACTTTACACCCTCGACTTAAGAACATTGTTTAGAGTTCAGATTAGCGGTTTTGGTAATGGTTTGTTTAATGTCCCCTGAAATCTTGAATGTAACGGGGTTTATAAGGTTTCCGGTAATTACCAAGTAAACGTACGTGTAACAAGGGACAAATTTAAAATACGCTCAGTCATTATAGTCTACATAGTGAAAATTTAAAATGCATTGTAAGTGTCATATCAGGGAACCGTTTCTCGTACGCTGCGTACATGTTCTCGGTTTTGAATTATCTGTAATATTCGACGGAAAATGTCAATCTCAACTGACCAAAAAAATTGTTACGCTCGCGCAATCTCGACCTCTCGAAAGGGTTTGAAACCTATTAGCACGTACAGTCAAGAGCCCGTCAAGTTTGACACTATGTACTTTGGACCGTGCTTATCATAAGCGGCATAAGAGTTGGATTTAAATCTTAAGTGTCAAGCATGACGTGCTCTTGTACCTGTACCTACTGTTTTTATCGATTTCATTCAAAATATAACCAATAAATATTGTTACACTGCGATTTAATTCGATTGATTGTCTGAATTAAATTAATGACATCATTGTGCCGTTCAGTATCAAAAATGTCGTAAGTCAAATTAATTTATATTTCTGCGTAATGGATCGTAACCACTACGTGCCTTTCCAATCCCTACTATCTCTAATTACTTTATTACCATGGCAAGAAAATCATATCAATAATTTTCTCAACCACACGAGACCAAGCCCATGACCGTTGTATTTTTACGCGTTGTCAATTCACTTGTATTCGTTGAGAGATACGCAGACTATGGAGTTTAAGCAACCATGTTATGCCGTACAAACCTATATAGTTTCTTTAGTCACAGCTATACAATAGCAGCAGTAGAGCTCCTTGATAAAAGAGCTCGTCCAAGGAAGTACTGCCACCTTACCTATTTCTGCCGCCAAGCAATAATGTCAGCATTACAGTGTTTCGATTTTTAAGGGTAAGAGTGCTGGTGAAATTACAGGCGCTTGAGACTTGTCAACTTATGGTTCAGGGAGACGACGCCGTAGTAATGCCCCTCAGATCTTTGTGATTTAAAGCACTGGGTGGCACTGCAACTGTTATGGACAGGCGTGTCGCTTACCATAACTTACACTTACACTTGACGAACAAGTCGAACGACTTGTTCGTCCCGTCACTTAATATTTTGTATAAAAATAATGTGAATACTGTGCCACCTTACTTATGTAGATGGTGCAAGTTTACTGACAGTTTGTTGACATTAATAAACGTTTACCTCATTGGATTCTCGATGAACAGTGAGGTATCCGAGTATACTCAAAGTTATTGAAACTACGAAGTAGTATAAAGGAAGCCTTATTTTGAAGAATAATTACCTATACAAAAATAGCTCTACAAAAAAACAACAAACTAAAAGTACCTAGTCTATGTTTCACGTCTTCTATATAAGCCACAATAATAGTCTAACAGAGGGAGGCTATGATTATTTGTCAACTGACCCTTAATTACTCAGCACGTTGTGTCACCGTATTAGGTGATAGTCTTTATACTATGTATACTTGTCCCTTTTCTTACCACTCGCGACCAAAGTCGAATTTGTCCAAGCGTAAATCCAAGATTAATAAGTTTACTTTTGGCTGAAGTTGACAGGGAATGTGATTAATGGCCACGGGAAGTATTTGGTTCTTATGGTGATAACATTATATTATAGGAACGGAAAGTCGTTAAATATCGTGAGTGTGATTTAAAGTGGTAACGTATTAACAATGTGTGACGTGTGTTTAGGTATTTCAAACTAAACAATGAAAGGTATCATATGATTCGTACGTCATAGCCACTAGATAAATCACCCACCGTGAAAGGGCGGGAAACGTATTCATGTCAAGTTACCTGAGAAGGTTGACACGCCAGATAGCATAGACAGGCCGGAGTACCGGCTGTGGGACGGGTGGATCATGCCAATGGAGCATATCTCTGAATCGTCAAACTGCCACATCCCGGGTTCTAATCTCACGCTCAATTTCTGCACTTGGAAACCTAAGAACATCAAAGTCGAGCACACCACATCGAACCTTTGTTAACTTATTTACATTACATTAAGTACAAAGGATATTCACTACATATGAACTAACTTAGGATAATTGGTTAATTTTTTTAGTAGATTAAATATTTAGTACGTTTAGAACGTGTTATGACAGAAAATTAATATTTTTTATCACATGAAGATTGAAAGCGATCTTAATTAGTGATGTGTAGAGATATGCATAGAGTCAGATACGTCCGCGTGGCGCGACGGCTGCGGCGCGACTGAGCGGTTTAGCCCGGGGGTGGCGGTCGCCCCCACCCGTGGCTCTCGAGCGGGTGGGGAGGCCGACGTCATGGGAGCACACCGCCTACGGGAGCTTCGTTCATTCGCGAATGAGTTGGCTCTAATTAGGTTCTGATCTGAACGATATAATTGACTTTGACAAAAGAAAAACTCGATAAAGAGCCCATATATTGCTTTAATTAAAGTTTAAACATGCAATAAAACGTTTGAGGATGTTGAATATTTTAAAGGCATTAACATTATGAACATGGATTGATACTTTACTATAATAAAATATATCTTGTAATAATAACCTGTATTGTTTTACTTATTAGTTACTGGTAAACTACAGCTACAGTTAGATTTAAGCAAGTCACAATTAATTGTCTGAAGGTGCCAAACGGCATATTATCATTTAGTTAGAATGTGCCAAAGGCACCATGATTGAATTTCGTCCAATCAGCCAGAGGAGTCCTTTGAATCTCAAATTGATCTCATCTCTTTTGGTTTGGATGTGTTTCGTCCAGGTAAGTCTACGGTACAAATGCATTCCCAGGTATTTCACTATATTCCGGTGTGGGAGTTGAACGCCATTTAAGGTGACCGGTGAGCAGTCTTCTTTGCGGAGAGTGAAGGTGACTTGTACTGATTTAGTCTCACTAGCAGCAATTCTCCATTTTGTTAGCCAATCCACCATTTCGTTTAAGCTGCTTTGAAGGAGTCGGGATGCTTCAACTGGGCATTTACTTGAGGTTAGTAACGCCGTGTCATCAGCGAAGGTAGCATCAGTGGCCTTAGGGTTTTGTGGCAGGTCGGCTGTGAAGAGTGTGTACAGAACAGCTGCAGAGATTTCATGAAATCCTGATGTGTGGTCGCTATTCCTAATTTGAAATGTTCTGTTACTAATGTATGAGCTCAAGACTCTATAGAATGTGTGTGGCAGCAAAGACTTTTTTTATATAGCAACCCCTTGTGCCAAACCTTATCAAAGGCTTACTGTATGTCAAGGAAAGCCGATGAGCAGTATTATTTTTCTCGTATGACTTTCTGATTGCTCTGCATACTCTGTGGGCTTGTTCTACAGTTGAGTGCTCTTTTCTAAATCCAAATTGCTGGTCAGGGACAACAGAATTTTCCTGAAATACATGTGTCAGCCTATGTAGCAGACACCTCTCAAACAGCTTGGATATAGCAGGCAGTAAGCTGATCGGTCTATATGAAGTGATTTCGAGAAGAGATTTACCAGGTTTGTGGACCATTATAATTTGGGATATTTTCCACAGATCTGGGAAATGTTCTAGTCTCATGATTGCATTGAATAGCATTGTGAGAATACTAATCCTTTGCGCGGCTATTCTTCAAGGACTTTCTTGTCGATGAGATCGAAGACTGGTGCTTTGTGGTTGGGCATGAGTTTAATATATCTACTTATCTCAAAAAGTATTATCTCTGAAGGTCAAGTTGAAAGTCTTGGTTAAGAACGGTGTCAGTATCTGATTCATCCGCATTCGGTTTAGCAGGATTTGGTTTGAAGACTTGACTCAGATGGTTTGCAAAGGCCTCCACTTTGCTCTGTTCAGTTCTAGACCATTTTCCATTTGGCATCCGAAGTGGCGGCTTGTGCTGTAAAGGCCGATCAAAGTTTTTGCATATCTTCCACAGAGAAAGTAATTCGTCGCTTTTGTTAAGGTGAGACCCTCTAAGTAAGTCTCCAGAGCGACGTTATTAGCTTCTGTTATGAGGCTTTTTAATTCTTTAGCTGCTCTATTAAATGCTGTTTTGTCACTACGATGTCTGCTGGTATGCCAAACTCTTCTCAGTCTTCTTTTTTCTATAATTTTTGTACGGATGCATTCCGAGTAGACTTTACGTTGTGGTGTGTGTTCAGCTGCTTCAGGGGTATACATCAGGGGTATATATATATATATATATATATTCTTGGATAGTCTTGATGGACATAGTGGCGTCATCGATATCAGTTTCAGTTTTTAGAGGAATCTTCAGGTCAAGCCTCTCATGGACTAGCTCACGAACGGAGACCCAGTCAGTGCGTTTGTTATACAGCTTGGGTACACTGGGAATATTGAGGGCTGTGGTTCCGATGGTTAAAAATACCGGAACATGATTGGCATTGGCGTCCAGACACATCTGCACCGAATGGTAAAGTCTAGATAGCCCCTTTACAATAAAGAAGTCTATGACATCTGGTAGCCTATTAGGGTCGGTGGGCCAGTTAGTAGGTTCAGCTATTGATATCGTGATGATATTATTCTTATCTAGACTCTTCTTGAGTTCTCTACCCCTGGTATTAGTCAATGTGGAGGCCCAGTGGAGGTTTTCGGCATGCCAGTTTTCTCCGGCTATGAAACGTGCGCCCAGCGCGTCAAATAACTCACGGTATTGCCCTTCTGTTATTTTATGTCTTGGAGGACAGTATATGGCTGACACATTAAACGTTCCGTTTCAATCCTCTATTGCAATAGTAACTGCTTATATGTAGGCTTTTTTAAACTATGCTAATTCACTGTGTTTGATGCTTGACCACACGATCACGGCTCCAGCGTGTGCAGTTCCATCTGGGTTTTGATTGGTGGCATAAATATCATAGTTTTGTATCCGGATCCTACTACTCGCCGTAAAGTGAGTTTTAGATACCAGCAGTATATCGATGTTGTGGGTGTGCAGCAGAACTTCAACCTCTTCTTTGTTTGGAGACAGCCCGTCTAGGTTCCAGGTGGCTATCTTGAGGGAAGTCATTTTACTAAATTGGAGACTAGGGTTGTTATAAGGCTAAAAAGTGCACTCATCTGTTGTAAGATTAAATCGAAGTTTTCTGTTTGTTTGAGTAACATTTCTTCCAATGTTTGACTTATGGTGGAGGGGATTTCAGCCGTTTTGTTTTTATTGACTTTCAATACATCGGCATATCTGGGTCGCTGAGAATGGTGAGGAGATGGTCTAACCTTTTCATTAATGGGTTGGAGTGGGAACTGGGTAGTGAGACCAACAGCAACTTTTTGGTGGTCCCTGCGTTTAAGGTGTTGTTAGATGCTGTTTGTTAGATTTTCTGGCTAATATTTCTCTATACACCTTGCAACCCTTGTAATTTGCTGGATGGGCGCCTAGGCATAGGGCACACTTCGCTGGGGTGTTACGGTCGATCTTAGGACACTCCGCAGTTTTGTGAGCTTGTGCACATTTCACGCATCAATAGTATTATTATATACAACAATAGTATTGTTGGCATCTTTGGCATTGTACTACTACATTTCGTTTGCGTGGATCTTCTATAATAACTAACTGGTGGTGTATGTATTTGAGGTTCTTGACGGCTTTGTTTTTGGAGCCATGTGCTAGATTGGCAAAGAATGTGGTGGTTGGTTTCTTTTCTGGTCCGTATCTGGCATTTATTATTTCTCCAATAATGGTATTACCTGTACTTTCCAGCGTTTCTTTTATTGCACTAATTGGTGTTGTGGGATGACGGTTTCTGATGACGATTCTATAGGGCCGTTTGTCTTTTCTATTGAAAGTATGTCCGATTAAACCTTTTCCTCTCACTGCATCTATTATGTTTTTGTACACCTATGGTGGTGCAGCTGATACGCAGTTGATTTTGGTTGACAATTTTGTAGCTGAAATCTGAATTATTCACGATTGGCTCAAGGTGTTCTGTTAGCTTGTTAACGTCTTTGATGCCATACAAGATTATAGGAGGTGGTTTTAAAGGTTTATTTAGAGTTTCGCTATTTTGTTTGCCGTCATCATCTATTTCTTCAGTAGATAGTCCACTGAATCTGTTAGTGGCAATCAATCTTTCGGGGGATGGTGAAGATCTTTTTGAAGAGAGATCTTTTTGCATTTCTAAGCGTAGGTACTCTCTGCCAGGTTGGGTGATTAGTATCTTCGTGGTCAGAATAGGTCAGCATCTCGGAGGTATGGGTGTAGCTGTTACTTGCGACTAATGGAACTTCTATGTTAGTATCAGCCTTGTTACTCAGTGAGACACTTCTTTACCTGGTGGTGAACAAGCCGGTATGGAACGCTTGCTGAACTAGCTTCTTATTGCTCTCTTTAAGACCAGTAGCATTAACTGGTATGGGGGCCAGGGTGCCCGCCCTCATATAGTCTTCGGTAACTAATTTCTCACTCACAGGCCCGGGTACCTGTGAGCGCCGGGTGCTAGCAAGATTGCATGGCAAAACTTTCTGATTATTGTCCGACATTTCATACGAAAAGAGGTTGTGTGGTGCTTTCCCAAGGCACCACACAACTTCGGGGTGACGCCCTAGCCTTTGATGAACCAATATCTCCCTACAAGGCAGCAGGTGCAATTTAGTTTCGGAAGTAGCATCTCCTAGATCAATTGCCATTCCAAAGCTTACGAAGTTGATCTCCCCGGGTCCCAGCTTTGATTCAAGTGGCGGCTCATACTCGCCACTTTCATCCATCATCATTGGGTTTGGTGCTATTTTGTAGAGGAAACTCAGCCATGAATGTCCCCAGCACCCCTTAAGCTCTATTGTGCGCGGCTGCCGAGGCAGCTAGCTACCATATCTGGTCGCCGTTTCGCTATCCGCAACTTGCGACGCGGTGGGTAGCACAGGGCCGTGCTACTGGGAATGAAAACCCAGAACCCACTGTTGTATATTCATTTTATTAGTTGTTAAACAACTAATAAAACGAATACTATACACATAAAAGTGTACATCTTTATTAGAAATCACAGACATATATCTAGATAAATATCAGGGTGTCTGTTTTAGAAATCCACATATTTATTTTATTTCATAAAATTACACAATATTACAGTAAATTACCAAGGCACCGTGAATTCAATAACTATAATAATAGATAATATTAATAGTAAATCACGGATGATAGTCGGTCATCCATTCTCTCACAGAACTTCAAACACTCATCACACACAACCACCCACCTATTTGCAAAAACATCAAAGTCTGGTGCAAAAGCATAAGCAAAAGCATAGACTAGAATAAAAATTTCAAATTATTAAAATTAAAACAGTGCAGAGCATGAACAAATGGTAATTTACTGTGTGACACAGTGCGGCCCAGTGGTGAACCAGTCGCAGCACTAATTCTGGCCAATCAGAATCTCCGCGCAAAATTCTACCGGCAATAGTCATCTGACCAAAATTACGATTTACTTACCAACAAATGAAGTTCCAAGACGCCATGGAAGAATTACGTAGGGTATTATTAAATAAATAAGAATTATTATTATTGAATAAATAAGAACACACACTAACTCTACTACAATTAAAAAGGCTTAATTACTCAATGGAAATTAACTGCCATGAAAGTACAAAATCATAACACAAATTGTATTTCAAAGAAATATTCATAAAATATTTATTGACACTTACATATTAACAGAAACAAATTGAACTAAGAACAACAATATTAAAAACTAAATGAACATAACCAAACCACTTCTAAATAAGCACTTACTGTTTACATTATTACTAGTTTTATGATTTGGTCCAGATAACGGTTATCAGAACGGTATATAAAATTCATCTCTAAAATCGTAAGTTTGCAAGTCTGTGATGTAAACAAAAACCTCCCTTTCTTCGGACAGGAACATCGTACAGTTTAATTAAAAATAAATCACTGAAACATCGACAAAAAGAAAGGAAAGGATAGCAAAGTAATAACTTACCGTATTCCCTGAATAATTTCTTATATTCACCCAAATCATTTTGGTCGAGCCACTCGTCGACTTGCACACTTTCGTCGTCGAATATTTCCGTCAGAACCACTTTAGCAAAATAAACGAGCAAACAAAACAATAATATAGTCCCGAAATAATGCACTCTATTATACATTTTCAAATCTTCTATTCATATTTTTGAACTATTTTCGAAAATAAACAACAGGGACAGCCATGGGGTTTGTTTGACAATTTACGATAACTTAGCACATTTGAAATAAAAGACAGAGAGAGAACATTATTGATTCGCATGACGCTTGTCTATCTTTCTAATGCATATTTTAACTTTAACACCTAACAAAACGCGACAATATTGACGTTTGATATACTTTCCATTTTACGCAGAAAATATAGTCCGTATGTAAGGAATAAATAAAATGCTAAAATTTTGTGAAAACTGCGTATATTGAATCCGTCAAGGGCAAGCCAGGCTATTGATCACAAAGTACTTTGTAATTTGATTTGCAGGTTTAAAAAGGGTTTATGATAATCTCAGTCCATCCTTCTTTTTAAAAATAGAATAGATAATCTCAGTCTTCAGCTCACAATTCATTCCACTGGCTCAAGCAACGGGTTCAGGTTGATGAAACATTGGTGTTTCATCAACCTGCTGACGGCGTAGACGAAACGACTTCAATTATACGCATTTGCACATTCATTAAATTGAACGCATAAATAATTTGCTTCTCCAAACGAGCAACAAAAAATAAAACAAAACGTGAATAGACTACATAAAAATGCGTTATATTAAAGCAGACATTACAAAATACAATGTACATACAAGCAACGTAAAACGATTAAAGGATCATTACAAAACAAAGTTTTAAACAATTTTTACTGTCAAAAAGTTTAATATATTCTATACATAATTGAGTTGAAATATCACAAGGAGTGCTGACAGTCTAGGGGATCCGTATAATTTTATTTTAAAGCTAGGTAATTAGGTGTTGATCTCACTAGGCGTTGAAGGAGTCTTATCAACTAAATATTTTACAGTTGACCAAATCTGCCTCAATTTTAATTTATTGAGTTAGACAAATTAGCTCTAAGGTACTGAGACAAACACATTGTTAGAACTTGACACCTCCAACTAGTATAATTTCCATAGGTGCAGGTGCCAAATTAAAGCAACTATCTAAGTAAAAGTGATTTAACTATGGAAAAATCTTTACAAATTGAACAAAACATTGCTTTTCATTGATTTGATTTTCATTTCATTTTAAATCTATTTTTTGTATTTGAGCTTGTCAGCAAGCGAACAGGAGAGGCCAGTCCCATCGGGTTCCACATTGAGCTCGATCACCTTGCTGTTTTCTATGACCATAGAGAAGCGCTTAGAGCGGAAACCACCGAGAGGCGCAAGGTTCGTTCCCAGGTCTAACGCCTTGATAAAATTGCCTGCTGGGTCAGCCAGCATACGGATCTGTCAAGATAAATATTTAAAGGAAGTAAATCTAGATTTTACAACCATGACACATTCTATGGGGTGACACTTTAGAAACATTTTATTAGATGGATCTGGATGATCACTAAAATAACTAAATTCAAATACTCGGTACCTCGACCTTGCACTGTATTTAACTCTTAACTTGCGGAAGTTAATTGGTCGTCCATAAGACCCGGAAATAGGTCTGTCTTGGATCCGCAGTAACCGCAAATTAAGAGTTAAACAAAAGACATTAAAATTGATTTGTTACTAATTAAATCACAAACAATATAGACACACTCAAGGACAACCTTCACTTTATATAACAAACCACATTGTTAAAATCAATTAAAAATTACAAGTTGAAATACATAATATTTTTCATTAGATCTTAATCAAATCTAGCATTAACTAACTTTAATTCCAAAGATTTATCTTTTAAGAAAGTCACCACACTTATAAATGTGGAATTTGCGTAAGCTAGTGAAAAGAGCTTAAATGTCCATTCAATAAGAGCCTTAAGACATGCTTGCCTGAAACTCCCTTGGCACCATGGAAATTCAATTATATTAACATACATTTTCATACTCTTGAAGAAGAGGATCATAGTGGATAATTCTATTCCCAAGTTAAACCATTTCACAAATATATTGACTACATAGGTATATAGATATAGCTTGCTGGATATGTATTCTAAAAATAAATGATACTTTTAAGTTGTATCGACTTAGACATTTCATTTAAATACCAAATGAGGTTGAAGGTCAAAGGAATGTTCTTGTATTGATTTTGCATCACTTTTGTACTGCTTTCAAAGGCGCCTTCAGTTTTTGTCAATTCAACATTCTGTGTTGTGTCATCGAAGTTGTACATATTTGTGTAATAATTACACAATTTACTTGATCCTGTTGTACATTCTAGAAATGTGAACTATATAAGCAGAACTCATAAATTAAGTGGCTTGTTTCAATATTTCTTTAAGTAAATAAGCAATTATATTTATAAGAAAAATAGGCATAGATGTAATATAAGTTGTTACAGTTTCTTTATTGTCATACTATCTATGAGTTTGAATATTTGGTGCCAATAAAATTATGCAATCATACCACACCTTTTTATACGTAATATTATTACTTTTTAATACATTTTAATTCTTTTCGTTATAACAATAAATGTTTTAGTAATTGATTCCAGATTTTAGAAATAATAGTTATTTTTGTAAAATAATCAAAATTATTTTATTTATTTACTTATTTTTAGGATTTACAGTGAATTTTTAACAATAAATAAATGTTGAGTAACAAGTGATAATGCTAATTACAAATCTCCACAAGTAGCACAAAATATAAGTTTTTAGTCAGCAGAAACTAAAACATTATTATTGGAATGTAAACTACATAATATTATATTACACATTGAGAACTGATACAAGACAGGAAAGAAAATGTTGAGAGATAGATAATTACATAAAGTATTACTAATACCTATTATAACAACTTTAACTTTATATATATATAAAGTAGTTGTTATCTCTTAGCAAAACATTAAGTAAAAAGACATAGCTCTATATAGTGTCTACAAATGATATCCCTGGTGTTCACCCATTACCCAACTGAAAAGATAACCTTTTATAAATAAAACAAGAGATAAGGCTCACCTTTCCTTTAGCATTATGTTCCTTACCCCAAGCAGCCATCACATAGGGATCGTTCACCGCCACGCAAACTATCTCTTTGATCCCCTCCGACTTCATCTTTTCAGCCTTCTCAATGTACCCGGGTAAATGTGTCTTTGAACATCCCGGTGTAAAAGCACCAGGCACACCGAACATTACGACTTTTCCATTCGATGATAATTCCTGCGCATTGACTTTATTTGCCGGAGAATCTTCAAATAAATCCACAGAAGGTATTGGGTCTCCAACCTACAACCACCGAAAAGCAAATATATTCTGCAATTTACGTAATATTTCTGACAAAAGTAAACTTTGTTCAAATAACTTACCTTTATTGGCGCCATGGTTATTTGTGTCGTGTAGAGCGTTCGCGCGGCAGCCTGCTTGGCGAATGCAGCAATTCCTCGGACAATCGTAGGGGTCGTGAGAATCATTTGGTAGGAATTAGGTATGTATTTTTTATAAATTCGCCGACGGATATCGATCGACCTTGACCTGACGTTTGACAGCTGATTATGATTGGTGTTGTGTTTCACTCAAAAATATTATTTTTATACGAATTATTTTAAAATTAAGAAATTAAAAGTATATACTTTTCCATAAAATTGAAACCGTTTATTTTGTACAAAAATATTTTCATTTCTTTAATTTTCGTAAAATCTAGAATTGTCTCTTTGTTTTTAAACGATTCTTGTCTATGGTGAACTTAAAACTTCTAATGTTACTAATTTACTTCGTTTGCTTTTGATTCGGGAATATAATAAAAAAAGAATAATAAAAAATATAACAAATAAGAAGAGACTAAAAATACGGACAGAGACTTACGCCCGTAGCCAAAACTCAGTGAATAGTCAAGTGCCATTTTGTATGGATCGTTGTTGCACAACTACAACTTTCAGTGTGCCCAAGAAACTGTAATCAAAATAGGGTAATTTGTTGTGCTTGAGTCACGTCGTAGTTCACTAAGTAGTCTGTGCTGGAGTCGCAGAGTGACAGCGGCAGCCCACATTATCTATGATCGAACGAATCTATCAAGCATTTCTTTCGAATGTGCTTGTTTTCGCAAATTAATTCTTTTTTAGTTGTTTTCCACGTTATAATATGAGAGTGTGGTATTTAACAGTTTTGGAAGTGCGGTGTTGAGTGTGTGTCGTGTTTAGAAACTGCAGAAAGATGGAGATACCTTCAATGGATACTGTTTACCAGGCCATCAGCGCCTTGTATGATAACCCCAATGCAAATGAGAAAGAAAAGGCCTCTATTTGGCTCGGCGACATTCAAAAATCTGTAAGCACTTTCATTATTTTGCCTGACAATCTTCTTTATCCCTTAAAAATTAGTATACTACTATGAGGAAAGTAGGAAGCCAAGAAAAGTAACATGTCTACTTTCTTTCCAGATTCATTCGTGGAAAATCGCCGACGAATTGCTGCAACAAAAAAAGGATGTGCACTCATGTTATTTTGCAGCTCAGACCATGAGATCTAAAGTCCAACACAACTTATCAGAGTTACCCGCAGATGCCTTAGTTTCTCTTCGAAATTCTTTAGTAGCTCATCTGGAAGGCATATCTCCTGATACTAGTTCACCAATTTTGACCCAACTATGCCTTGCTCTCGCCGATCTAGCCCTACAAATGCCCTCCTGGCAAAATTGCATTAGTGACCTACTAAAATCATTTTCAAACAAGAACAACTTTGCTCTACTAGAATTATTGACTGTAATACCTCAAGAAATTGACTCTACTAGCTTAAAACTTGGTGAGAACCGGCGAGAAGATATAAAGAATGAATTACGATCAAATTCTCAAGTCGTAACTATGTTTCTTAAAGAAAGTATCAATAGTTCGCAGAACACACTTGTAGCATTGAAAATAATCAAATGTATGACATCATGGATTCAAGTGAAGGCTATAAACATTCAGGAGGTGCCACAGAATGCCGTGATTGGATTTTGTTTGCAAGTGTTGAGAGATCACAATTCCATAAATACATTGCATGATGCAGCTTGCGACTGCATATGTGCCTTGTTGCACTGTTTAGAAGAGAATAACAATAATGATGACATTGAGCGGTTACTATTTGATAGCGTAGCAGCATTAGAGGAAAGCTATCACATGGCTGTAGCTCATGAAGAAGAGGAAAAGGCTTCAAACTATGCAAGAGTATTTACAGAGTTGGCAGAGTCATTTTTAGATAAGATAATTATATGTGCATTGAACGGAGGGACACATTTTGCAATGCATTCTTTGGAATTAACATTAGTATGCGTTGGACATCATGACTATGAGGTAGGGTGTTCTGGTGAAAATTATGTTTTTATTACATAATTATTTTGACAATTAACTATCTATGAAAGGAACAACATTATAATTTTTTGTTTACTTCATTTTATTTATATCTGTCTTTTGGTTAGTAAAAAGTTTCTTATGCTATTATGGTTCTTTATTAATACAACAGATAGCAGAAATAACCTTCAACCTATGGTACAGACTGTCAGAAGAGGTGTACCAAAGGGACTACCAACCCCTCACAGACATGTTTAAACCACACATAGAGAGGCTCATAAAGGCATTGGCCCGCCACTGCCAGTGGGAACCAGATATCAGTCAACTGCCTGAGGAGGGGGATGAGTTTTATGTAAGTATTGTAAAGGCAGTAACTTTCATTTAGAATTTTGTTTTAATAATACATTTCCTTTATTTACACACATTGGCCATTTTGCTTCATTACTACAACGAGCAAGCCTGTGGGCCAGTATGTTACACCAGCTTGTTTAAAAGTATGTGATTTATTTTAATTTCGGTGAATTGACATCATGTATTTCTTTTCAGTATTTATATTTTATCATATTATTTATTATTGGCATTAAGGGTAACGCCCTTTGTGTTTGCTTTAATTACAAGTTTATTTTAATTACAAGTCCTTGATTCAAGGAATTTTTAAAGGAAAGAGTACACAAGAAGCAATATTATAATAGAAATGAAAAAGTGTCTACAGTAATTTGTTGTGTGTGTTGGGGCACAGGAATTCCGCGTGAAGGTAATGGAATTAATCAAGGACGTCGTGTTCATCGTGGGCTCGAGCAGCGTGTTCCGGCAGATGTTTACGGCGTTGCACGCCGACACCTCCTGGGAGCAGACGGAGGCTGCGCTCTTCGTCATGCAGGCGGTCGCCAAGAACATACTACCGTGAGTTGTCATCGTCAGTTTCCCGTCGAGGAACACGCCTGTGGTAAAAGTGACGGTCGGATTCTACGCGCAGAGACGAGTACGAGTACGTGCCGAAGGTGGTGGAGGCGATTCTGTCCATGTCGCCGACGGCACACCTGGCCGTACGTAAGACGTGTCTAGTGCTGCTGGGCGAGCTGAGCGAGTGGATCGAGCGCCACCCCGAATGCGTGCCACCCGCCGTCCACCACCTCACGCTGGCGTTGCAGCAACCGCATCTGGCGCACGCCGCCGCCCTCGCGCTGCAGGTATATCACAATTCGTTTAGGTGGCAGGGTCAATAGACGAGTCAGGATCGACGTAATAAATATTTTAAATGAATATTGGCTAGAATATCTGCAAAGCGTGCCGCATGCAGACGGCATCCCACGTGCCGGTGCTGCTGCAGCTGGCTCAGCGCGCCAACGCGCTGCCGCTGCCCACAGCCGTGGCGCTGATGCGCGCCTTGGCCTCGGCGCTGGGACGGCTGCCCGAGGAACAGGTATACTCTACGGCAGGCCCGCGTCGTGGCCTCCCTTTCGTGCCGCAACATTGATTACAATTTGCAAATCGGCACTGCGCCGCAGCTCGCGGTGGCGATGCGCGAAGCGGTGTCGGTGCAGCTGGTGGCCCTGCGCGAGCTGATGGAAGCGGACAAGCCGCCCAAGAAGGGCACGGACAGCGACCCGGTGCTGTGGCTGGACCGGCTGGCGGCGCTGTTCCGCGACGTGGAGTTCCCCACCACCACGGCGTCCACCGGCCACCCGTGCGTGCCGGCGATCAGCGACGCCTGGCCCGTGCTGCACGACGTGATGACCAAGTGAGTGGGTCGGGCGGGGCCGACGCAGGCCGGCGGCGCGGCGGCGCGGCGGCGCGGCGGCTGACGGTCGTCGCCCGCGGCAGGTTCCAGGCCGACGTGCGCGTCATGGAGCGGGCCTGCCGCGCGCTGCGCTTCGCGCTGCGCTGCTGCGGCCGGCACCTGGCGGCGCTGCTGCCGCCGCTGGCGCGCAGCATGGCGGCGCTGTACCAGGCGCAGGCGCACTCGTGCCTGCTGTACCTGGCCTCCATCCTGGTGGACGAGCTGGCCGCCGTGCCGCACTGCGGGCCCGACCTCGTGGCCATGCTGCAGGCGCTCATGCCGCGCGCCTTCCTGCTGCTGCAGCGCGAGAACGGGCTCAAGGACAACCCCGACACCGTGGACGACCTGTTCCGGCTGTGCATCCGGTCAGTCGCCCGGCCCGGCGCGGCCGCCCTCGGCGCCGCCCGGCTCTGACCCGCGTCTCGTCCGGCGGCAGGTTCCTGCAGCGCGTCCCGCTGGAGTTCCTCTCGTCGGGCGCGGTGGCGGGGGTGCTGCAGTGCGCGGCGCTGGCCGCGAGGCTGGACCACCGCGAGGCCAACTCCTCCGTCATGAAGTTCCTCTACGACCTCACCAGGGCCGCCAACAACGCCCGCCCCGACCGGGAGCGCATCCGCGGTGAGCGCTTTTCGCGGCCATCCCGTCCCTTTGTGCGTGCCGCTTAACATCTAACAATCTCGACCCTCGTCGTCGAGAGCGCATTTAAGTTTGTCTTCCCCGCCTTGTGCACCGTTAAAACGCTGGTCGCTATCACCTAACCGAAGCCGTTCACCCGTAGAGCTGGCGACGGCGGTCTTGAAGGAGTACGGCGAGAGCATCACGTACGCCCTGATCGAGTCGTCGGTGCTGTACCTGCACTCGTACATGCTGGCCGAGGTGGCCGAGGTGCTGCTGGAGCTGGTGTCGTGGCAGAAGGCGCACGGCGTGGACTGGGTGCGCTCGGCCGTGCAGAAGCTGCCGCAGGACAGGGCCGCTGTGGCCACGGAGCAGCAGTGCTGGCAGTTCCACCAGTACGCGGTCAGGTGCGAACGACGACTAATGCCTAATGTACTTTTCGGGAACGCAGACGACAGTGCTTTCGCTGCTTAATAATTATCTCAACATATTTAAACGTCCTTGATGTATTTTTTCTACTTTGCAGGGCAGAGAAATGCAAAGAAATGACTCGACTGCTGCGCGACTTTGCAAGGCTCTACCGATAAATAAGACAACTTTTCAAAGAACACATTAATCATAAATACAGGCCGCTTTGTAGGACGTTTCGAAAACTGGCTTCACCCTTCCGACAAGTTATTCTGAACTCGAATTTGCTTCAAATAAAATTATAATCGGAAAATAATTAACGCTATTGGATACATTGAACATTGTCAACAGAGATGCGATGGTCATATAAAAGAGAGCTTTAATTATTGATTCAATAATTTGTAACGTGTTTATTGAATAATTTGAAATAATTAAATAGGCTGAAATTCAATAAACTTTAAGGGATGATTTGTCAGCAACTCTCTATCATATCACTAACAGCAAACTTCTATAATTCTAACATATGCTAAACAGCCAATAAATCGAGACACTTCGGTGTTTATGTTCGAATCTGACTATTTGCCAATATACAATAACAGTAACACCACATTATCATAACTTTGTGGTTTTTACGACAACCAGCCCTCCTGAACTCCTGAGTAAATGATAAATCAAGCTGTTACTGCGCACACATATATTGTACACATATATACCGTGACATGATGTAAAATTCTAGGGTCGGCAAACTAAAGCACATAAGTCAAAATCCAACATAAGTCAAATTCATTTGTTACTTCATAAATTTCTAACTAACTTCCAACACTGAAAACAATACAAAAATATATAATTACCTACCTATATATTAACAAATGAAGTACTTTTTTCACTCTTGTGCGTTAGTCGACCCTAGAATTACAACTCGGACTCCTTGTAATGTATTTCATGTTATTACAATAGAGCGTATATCCTTATTTATCCCAAGTCAAAATATCAGAATGTCTTTATCCTAGTAAAGACAGAATTGCAAGTTTGCATTTGCTGTTATTCGTTATGGACCTTTCGTTTTTCCTATTCATATGAAGCGTAGTTCCGTTTTATTATATGTACTATTGTCCAATCACAGTGTGAAATATTTCATAGTAAGAAATAATTGGCGTAGTTTCGTTTTAGTTGTAGTACTAAAGTTAATATTATTAAACGCTCATATCACGCAATAATTATGTTACAGAGTGTGACTTTCGAGGGACTTGTAACATTGGATTAATTTGAAATATTGAGGGAATTTACAATGCGGTGTATCACACACGGTGTCGTACTTCGTTTCGCTCTAGCGTCGGGTTTGTTTATGTGAAACACCGCGTTGCATAGCACATATGCGTCGCATCGCGAAATAGTGTAACTTATACGCTTGCGTGTCATATACTGCGGTGTCACCGCAAAGTGCGGCACCGTGTGAAGTGCGCCACACCGATGACCTGATTTTGTGTTAGGTAAGTATGGACTTTCTATTGATAGATATATTTTGTTATATTATACTCTCATTATTTGAAATGTGATAAAGTGCATTGAATGTAAATATTTATTAAAAATGTTTACTTTTCCACTATTGTATCATTTTGTTAAAAATAAACTATGAACTATGACTTCTTACATTTACACTTACAATGAACTATGTACAGTCGGGCTAAGTAACAGATTATTATTCGTCATTGTAAAATTAATTATATGTCTTTACCGATTCCTCTTCGAACTAGCAGACGTACGGTGCAGTACAGCGGACCGCACCCAGGGGTATACAACGTGTCAAAAAAAAAATTGTATTAAAAACTGTACTTGACAAAGCGTCTGGCTACTTCGACGGCAATTTAAAAAGGGACGTTGCACAGCCTCGCCGAGGTGGAGTACTTCCCCGAAAGCCCGTCGTCTACGCCGCCGCGGCGGGCAGACTGCGGGAGAAAGCCTCGCGTCAGCGCCTCTTGTTCTTGGGGCTGGAGAGCGTGACGAAGCTGACCCTGCGCGGCGCGGGCGGCGCCCTGCGCTCGGGCGACTTCTCCCGCTTGGCGTTCTCCACTTTTGGCGCGGCTGCGGTCTCCGGTGACTTTCCCTCCGTAGGCAACTGACTCGAGCATTCGGTGTCCTCGTAGACGAGTTTTATATCGCCGCTGTCGTCGATTTCCATCACTTCGACCAGTTTGTCCGCCACGGGTTTGATGACGTCGTTCTGCGAATTGTCCGACCACGATTGCATGGCGGTCTCCATCAGCACGTCCAGTTTCACCGGAGTCTTTTGTTGATCGTTTTCTGTCTTCGTCCGCTTCTTGGGTGATTTTTCAGAGGGCGTTTTGAATTTCATGTAAGAGTTGATTTTTGGAGTGGTCGATTTTGGTTCGGACGCTTCTGGTTTTTCTTTCGGTTCTGGAGTATCTTGTTTTTGAATTTCCATTGGTTCTGTAATAAAAAGTGACCTTGTTACACGTTTTCGTTATTTACGCAACAAATGCGTTCAGGCAAAGCATTTTTCTCACGAGTTATGTCGACACACGAATGATGTCCACACAAACAAACAAAATAGAAATTAGCAAGACATAAAGACGGTTGAACCTGGATGGCTAGCAGTACCGTCCAGTTCAGGCTCGGGCAGCACTTCGCCCAGTTCGTGGTCGCTGAACGTGATGACGGAGCAAAAGCCGTCGGTGCTCGACGCCACAAGGGTCCGGCCCTCCGGAGACCACGACAAGTCGGTCAGTCTGTAACACGCGAAGACTCGAGTAGACTTTAAGACGTAGCTCGATTATAAATCGTCTATTTACATAAGCAGGCTATTGTTCCAAATTCAACCCTTAATTGCATGATCCATTTCAGTTGAAAGAAATGTTTGACTCAATGGTACACGGACTCACCTAGTGTAATGGATATTGCTAATCATGGCAATGGGCGTTTTCTGCTGTGTGTCATACAACAAGACAGAACGCTTAGTTGCCACGGCCAAGAGCATGCGGCGTTGGATGGGGAAGGCCGGAGGGGGCCCGTTCGGTCGAAGCGCGTACGAGCGAGGGGACCACCGCGTCACCAAGGCTGCCTCGCCGCAGGGCAGGACGCAGGCTGGCCTGCAAGGCAATGATCCATATAGGGTTAGTGGTTCTCGGGAATACTCAGGGTACAGGTGCGCTCAAGTGGGAACTTAAGTGGAGGCACTATAATAGAATAGAAAAAGATTTATTCACGGTTTACAACACGTCAATAAACACATGTAAATTTGGAAAGAGAAATAATAATAATGAAAAATTTCAGTTATAATTACAATTATATATACAAGAAAAAAAATACATAAAACAATGAGTTGCTTGGTTGCAACCATGAACCCATTGCAGCCTGGAGACTGACGCTGATCTTCCGTGGCATCCTCAAATGTTCCGGCATGGACCGGATCCCAAAAAACGAAGATCAGTAAATAATTAGGTGTTTAGCACTTTCACAATATTAATATATAGAACATGGTGATATACTACAAATACATACATACATATAGTGAGTGTACAACATATGCCATTATATTATATAAAATTATAATAAAACATGAATGAGTGTCAGTGAAGAGAGTGCTTCCCATGTAAGCACGCAAGTATAGTCTATAAGATATACCTAGATACCTATTTTATATCTCGATTATTCTGTACTTTGAAAAGCTACCGCCATCAGAACTGTTTTTGCTTTTCTAACAAAGTAGCTCTAAGGTATTTTTTGACAATGGAAGTTTAAGTGGAGGTGGGAGATTATTCCAGCATTTACTAAGGCTAGTAGTAGCGGAAAATTCCCTCAAAAGCTCTGGTTTTATGACAGTGTGACAAGTATAAAACTATTTATCCCTCTTGAGTTGTATGCGTATGTAGCCCACTCCAACTTGTTATACAAATAAGTAGGATGCTTGTATTTAACGATCCCGTGTACCAAACCCGCAAGGTGAAGAGTCCTTCTCGATTGCATATTCAACAATTCTTCGCTGTTAAGTTTGGGTGTTATGTGTACATGGGGGGACTTTATAACAGAACCTAATACAAGCGTTCCGTACGCGCGTTCTATGAGTCTAGAGAGAACCCAAGATTCCCAGAGGCGGATGCGAACCTTTTCATTTAAAAATCTACTAATCTTATACAATATCTTAAGTCGAAAGCGGCAGTTTTTGGCAGTATTTAGCACATGGTCTTCAAAGCGGAGGCGATTATTCATGAGGATTCCGAGGTTCCGAAACTTCGTTACCATCTTCTTCTATTTTCGACCCAAGAATATTCAATCTGTGCCTTATAAACAAGAACCATAAATTTGGTTTTGTTGGGGTTCAGTATTAAGGAGTTTCGAGCAGACCAGTGAGTCATACCATTTAGATCAGAATGTAATTTGTCTAGGTAAGATGTTACATGTCGTGGAACCACAGGAATGTACAATTGGACATCATCAGCATATAAGTGATATTTACAATGCTTAATTTGTTTTATAATGTCAGCTGTGTATAAAATAAACAATATTGCACCCAGGATAGAGCCCTCAGGTACCCCTCTTACAACTGCTCTCTCTTCGGACATAGCACGAGACCCATTAGGTAAATAAATTTGGGTACATTGTGAATTGTCACTCAGGTAGCTATTGAACCAAGCTAGTGTTTTCGGGTCGAATCCGTAAAATGCGAGTTTTGGTAGGAGGAGTGGTATACTAATTGAATGAAATGCCCGGGAAAAGTCTAATAAAGTTAACAAAGTAGCCTCTCCAGCATCCTGTGCATTCAGTATATTATCTATAACATCCAACAATGCAGTCGTCGTGCTTACTCCTTTACGAAATCCTGATTTAAAAATTGAGAGAAGCTCATTATTCTCCAGGACATTTTTTAACTGCCAGTATATCTGCTAAACTGCGTTCTAAAATTTTGGACATTTATAGCACAAAATACTTATAGATCTCAGGTCCTTGAGGTTTATCGGAGAGGATGTCTTTGGGATTGGAGTTATGAGAGCTCTTTTCCAAGCAAGTGGAAAGGTTCCCGTGGCGATGGACTTATTTATGAAGAAGGTGATGTAGGGTAAGCTGTAAGGTAAAGTTAATAACATCATATGCATGTTGATTCCATCAGCACCAAGGGCATTCGATTCAATAGAAAGGATAGCTTTTCCAACCTCCGACTCATTCACGGTCCTCAATGTGAATATTTTATCGCTAAACCTGTGAAACTCAAAGTAGGTCATATTTAATATTGGAACACTGTTGGTACAGGGGACATTGAGAAAATGATTATTTATTTCATCTGGGTTGCTGAAATTTTGAGGCAAGCACTCTTATTTTTCCGACGAGGTCAAAACATTTTTTTTAAGGTTTTTCCAGAGAGTTACCGAATCTTTAGAATAAGCGTTTATAGTTTTGTTAAAATAAATACACTTTTCGGAAAGTAAAGTTTCTCAGACCTGTCTTTCCATAACTTTATAAAAGGGATTTATGAGTTTCGCTACCAGAAGAACGGTACCGTTTGAGAGTAAAATTATCATGAATTTTAATTGTTTGTAATTCACGGTAGGGGTTTTTTCTTCAGATAAACTGTCTTCAGGGGTGCGAACCGATTGAATAAATCTAAAACAACATGATTAATATGTTCGACTATTTCGTCCACCACGCATTGTAGGCTATAAATACGATCCCAGTTGTAAACGGTTAACTCTCTATCAAAAATGTCCAAACGTATGTCTTTGACAGGGCGATAGGTGACGTGTCTCTGAATATACCTGTCCTTTTTTATGTTGAATGTAACGTTGACCATGCAGTGTCCATTTAGGTGAGAGACATTATATACTTCTAATAACACCCTTACCACCGCATCTGTGCACACCAGATCTATCACAGTTGCACTGTAATCAGTAAAATGCGTGGGTTCGTTTACTATTTGGTGCAGACTAGTAGAATGTAAAAATGAGTTTAATTTACAATAGCTCGCAGTATCTGTGTTTTGTTGGTTTATATTAAAACCTACTAAAAGTATAATTTTGTCGACATTTGTACCTAAGCGCGGTGACAGTATCCGTAAGAGCGTCCAAAAATAAGTCAACTGCTTGCCACGGCGGCCGATATGCCGTGTCGACCGCCAACCTCCGACCGTTCATATTGACATGCAACCATCGCTGTTCAACCGGAGAACACGGGTGCTGGATAGCTCTAGCAACAACACCGCCCCGAATATAAAATGCTATACCTCCTCCTTGTCCCCCGCGAATCTCAGTCGAACGCGGGAGCATTTTAAATTTTGTAGCCGGACAAGAGAGGCGCCAAAGCTTCAAATCCTTCTCTCAACCATGATTCATTTATAGCGAAAATGTCGGGTTCGAAGCGTTGAACAGCCGCAATTAAGTCGTCACCACATGTGTTCAATGATTGGGCGTCATAGAGCCTGCTTTTGAACAAATGTTTATTATGTTTAGGTGGCATCATAATTAATATAATGTACGATAATGCGATAGGGTAAGTATATTGTGAAATGCGAATAATATAGAATTTAATAAAATGAGTATAAGCACAATAAATAAGACATAACAAGAAAGGTGTAAATCCTCAAGCAGTTCCTGTTCATGGTTGCACACAAAAACTGAAAAAGAATGAAATCGAACGAGTAAAAGAAAAACGTTTGTAATACAAGCATTGATACCACCTAGAATAGTTATAAGTGTTAAAGTAGTCACAGAGCATAAAGCATAGAGTAAAAACACCAAAACAAATAGATAAATATTGTATTCAAAGAATGTATAAACGCTCTAATCCGATTGTTGCAGTTCGCACTCATGGACGCTGTATTATTTGTAAATTATATGATACTAACTAAATACAATTTAATATGTTACTATCAAAACGTTAGAGGCCTTAGATTGTATAACGTACAGGTTCGTGAGGAAATATTGCGAAATAACTACGATATTATTATTTTCACAGAAACTTGGCTAAACAACAGTTTTTTTGACGCCGAAATATTTGATGACAGGTATGATGTGTATAGGCGGGACAGGGAAAGCTCACCTATGTGCAGTTCTAAAGAGAGGGGAGGAGGGGTTCTAATCGCTGTTTTAAAAAAGTATTTATCGCGACGAATGAATGAGTGGGAGAGTGATTGCGAAGATGTTTGGACTCAAATTATATTAAATAAATCAAGAGTGTTAAATATTTGTGCTGTTTACCTGCCTCCTCCGGTATCACAATCTATTTTGGACAACTACCTGGTAAAGTCGTGCGGTGCTTGTGAGAGTGATGGTGAGACAATTATTGTGGGTGACTTTAATTTGGGAGGAATAATATGGAAAGCTGATGTTGATCGGGGCCACAGTTCACCAACTGGTTATGAAAATTGTTCTTTGAGGGGGAGTTTCATAGATTTCATGTCTTTAAATAATCTTGTTCAGCTTAACCATGTCTCAAACAGCGGCAATCGCATTCTTGACCTTGTTTTAAGCAGCATGCCAGACATTAAGATTTATGAATGTACTAGACCACTGCGAAATATTGACAAACACCATCCCCCTTTGGACATAGACATTGAAATCACTACAATTCCTAATAAACCTCGCAATTCAAATACAGAACCTAAACCGAACTTTCACAAGGCTGACTATGATGCTATCAATCTGCAACTGGGTAAAATTGACTGGAATGATTTATATGAGCGGTGTGTTGATGTGAATGATATGGTTAAAATATTTTACGAGCATTTGGATAGAATTGTTAAAGAATGTATACCATTATCTTGCAAATCTAAATTTAATAAATATCCAGTCTGGTTTTCGCCAGCTTTGATAAACTTACTAAAGCTTAAATACAAGTATCATGTTAAATTCAAAAAATACAGGAATCGGCTCGACAAGATAGAATTTGATTATTTGCGCGAAGACTGCGATGCCCTAATGCGGGAGTGTTACAGAAATTACATTAATTCAATAGAAACGTTAATACTCAGCAATCCAAAGTTTTTCTGGACACATATTAAAAATAAGCGTAAGAACGGTTCCAATTATCCGCCATCTATGTCTCTAAATAACACTACAGGATATGAAGGAGGTGAGATCTGTAACCTGTTTGCAACTCACTTTTCTTCCGTGTACGAACTGGATACTGGTGGTGATGTTGATTTGGATGAGGTGGGCATGATGGATGCGATTCCGGATTTAGTGATTGAATCTCACTGTGTGGAATATAAGCTCAAGCATCTTGATTTAAGTAAAGGTTCAGGTCCTGATAACTTTCCGCCAGTCTTTTTTGCAAATTGTGCTGAACAACTAGCAGTCCCATTGACCATAATTTTTAACAAGTCTGTTACTACGGGAATATTTCCTGACACTTGGAAGCGTGCTAGAATTGTGCCAATTCACAAAAATGGAAAAAAGGACTTGGTTACGAATTATAGGCCTATTTCTATATTGTCCACCGTAGCAAAAGTCTTTGAGTCGATAGTACATAGTCATATGTTTAGGCATGTCAAGAATAAACTATCACCGAATCAGCACGGATTTATTAAGAAGCGATCTACGGACACAAATCTATCCCAGTACATTGATGATGTAGCATTGGCAGTCGATACTTCAGGACAAGTAGATGCAATATATACCGATTTTTCCAAAGCTTTCGATAAAGTTAATCATCGTATATTGATAAACAAATTAGCTCACTTCGGGATTAGGGACTCCCTACTTCAGTGGTGTCAATCATATTTAAATAACAGGTGTTCTAGAGTTGTAATTGATGGTTATAGTTCAGATCCTTTTATTTCATGCTCTGGAGTGCCGCAAGGTTCAAACCTTGGGCCATTGTTCTTCATTATATTCATTAATGACATTGAAAGATTGTTTAAGAACTCGATCTGCTATTTGTTTGCTGATGATCTTAAAATAATGCGTGTTATTAAAAGTCTCAATGATGCTGATTTGTTGCAGGCTGATATTGATAGACTCATTGATTGGTGTCACATTAATAAAATGTATCTGAATTCGTGTAAGTGCTTCCATATTAAGTTCACATTAAAACGTAAACCTCTCAGTACCCAGTACAATATCTCAGATGAAACTCTTAAAGAAGTTTCTAAGATACGAGACTTGGGTGTAGTGGTGGACTCCAAGCTTAAATTTTCTATTCACATTGACAGTATGCTGGCCGCTGCTAACAAATCACTAGGATTTATTTTTAGAAATGGAAAGGAGTTCAGGAAGGTTTCCACTACCTTATTACTATTTAATGCCTATGTCAGAAGTAAGCTTGAGTACTGTAGCGTTGTGTGGTCCCCAACATACCGAGTCCATGTTGAGAGAATTGAAAGAGTCCAAAGAAGGTTTCTACGACACCTGGCGTATCGCTTCAGGCCGCCTCATGGCGTAAACTGTTACAGTGCCCGACTTGAGCACTTTGGCATGCAAACTTTGAATGGTAGGAGAAATACTTTAGGCTTATGTTTCTTACATAAAATTATGAACGGCATGATAGACTGTCCGTCTATTCTAAATATATTTGGTTTGCGAGTACCCCCACGTCCGCCTCGACAGCCGCGTCCTTTATTTCATGTCCGTTTGTGTAGAACGAATGTAGGAAAGCATTCGCCAGTCCCCCGCCTATCTAGTTTATATAATCGACTGTCCGGTGAAGATGAAACTGTTGACATATTTTGTGATACATTATATAAATTTAAGGAAAGAACAATTTTGTAGCTTTAGCTTAGGTTTAATTAATTTATTATTGTTATTATTGGATTTAAATTGTTATTATTATTATTATTATTAATTTTAATTTCATTTTATTGGTAGACATTTTTCTTTTTGTACATTTAAATATACATGTAAGTGCATGCTGTGGTTGCCTATAATTGAAGTTGCAACTATATGTTAATTAATAAGTATTTATTGTTTTGTATACGTTAAGTTGTAAACTTTGTTGGCAATCCTTAATAAATAAATAAATAAATAAATAAATAAATAACTTGGAGTCCTAGTAACCACCAATAGTCTACACTTCAAGGGAACGAACGTCTTTACCAAAAACACGATAAACACGGTTAGATCCTCCTCCGTATGCAGGCGATGACGAGGAGCATCTGTGCCTGCGTGCTGGCGCGCATAGATCCTGCCGTCACTGGTCGAGACAAATCTCAAGTTAAGCTGTTGTTGTAGTTGTAGTTAGAGCATAATAAATAAAAAGTCAGGAAGGGTTAAACAACACGATAGAGATATAGGTTTAGAATTAGACGGCAAACTTATCAAATCTAAAGACAAGGTAGTCTAAGCTTTTGAGTCGTTCTTTTCGGAAATTGCTGTGAACAATACAGAATCATTAAATTCCTCCCCTTCTCTTGCTATTGATCTCCTAAAGGAAAATGTTATGGTTTGTGGCAGTTTATTTCATTTCCGTCATGTTAATCCACAAGACATCATAAAAGCTTTTAAATCAATACATGTTACAAAAACTGAAGATCTCTGGGGCATATCAACTAAAGTTATAGACTCAGTTATTGATCTAATTTCCCCACATTTAGCTGTAGCTTTCAATAGGTGCTTTGACGAAGGTGTTTTTCCCAATTTAATAAAATACAGCAAGGTTATTCCCTTATTCAAAAGTGGTAGGAAAGTTATCCTAGCAACTATAGGCCCATTTCAATTTTACCAGCTTTAAGTAAAATATTCGAAAAGGATATGCTGACTCAATTACTGTCCTATTTCAGTAGGAATCATATTTTTCATAGTGAACAATACGTGTTTACTAGTGGTAGATCGACTAGCGTTACTAAAACACATCTTTGATGCTTGGGACAGGTCCCAGAATGCTATTGGTGTTTTCTGTGACCTCTCAAAGGCATTTGATTGCGTTGACCATATTATTATTAAGAAGCTGGAATATTACGGTGTAAATGGCAAAGCGTCGGAACTTGTCTCGTCATACCTAAAAGGTAGAATACAGAAAGTAGACACAAATGGAGTGACTTCTTTGGGTTCTCCGGTAAAAATGAGTGTTCCGCAGGGCACAATACTTGGACCTTTCTTATTTCTGATTTACATTAATGATCTGTCATTCTTTGTTAAGGGCCATTGCGAAATAGTATTGTTTGCTGACGACACATCCTTGATTTTTAAAACACACAGACATGACATTAACTATGACCACATTAATGATAAACTCTCTAAGATATTGGTTTAATGCTAACAATTTATTACTTAATGCCAAGAAGACAAAATGTGTTCAATTTGAAACTAGTCCAAGCATACAAATAAACGGAGAAAAGTTAAACCCTGTTAATAAAGCAGTCTTCTTGGGAGTGACCTTAGATAGTAAACTTTAATGGTTTCCACATATATCTTCCCTGGCCAGCAGATTAAGCTCCGCTGCATACGCAATCCGCAGAATACGTGAGCTTACCGATGTCAGTACTGCTAGACTAGTTTACTTTAATTACTTCCATAGTATAATGTCCTACGGGATTCTCATCACGGGTAAAGCAGCAGATATTCAAACCGTATTTGTATTGCAAAAACGAGCGATTCCTTCTGTGTACCGTCTAGGCTCTTGGGTTTCTCTCACGGAAAAGTTTAAGGAGACTGGTATCATGACTGTGGCATCACAGTACATTTACTCAAATATTTTATATGCCCGTAAAAATATACATAATTTCAATAAGAAAGAAGATATCCATAATAATTAACCTTAGAGCTAAGTCCAAATTCATGGTATCACGATTTCGTTTAACCGAAGTAAACGACTCTTTTATGGGCAACTGTATACGTTTTTACAATAAGATTCCGGAGCATATATTAAGATTATCATTTCCTAATTACATTAAACATATTTTGATTAAAAAGTCATATTAAAAAATTGAAGACTACGTGTTAGATAAAGATGTATGGAAAGACGACACGGCTCCAGAATCCACACAAATTTGATTCAAAGTGTATTCCATAGCATTTAAGTTTATTTGAACAGAGCAATTCCTAGAGTTTCTCGCTCGTTATTCTCAGGGAAGTCAGCGTAGTGAACGAGCAGTAGGTAGCTTAATGAAATCGACCCACTGCGCTGACTATGTCCTGCTCCACCAACGAGACTCCCAGCTTACTTACTTACTTGCGTGAGCATGACGTGTGTTAATCCTACACCCTTTGGCTCTGGCACACAGGATATCCATATGCTATCTAGCCACCGATCACCCGGCTCTCCAGGCAGCAAGCAAGTTTAACACGTCTAGTTACGAAACCGGTCGACGTCGAAGTCTACTAAGCAACACTTTCCAAATCACATAATACATAACATAAACCAGAGGTGACTCAACCAGTGGTAGCTCATCGGTACCCATCACTCTGTTTAACACTTCCAGCTATAATAAAAACTTACACTTTCAAAGAATATCTTGTATAAATATATACAGCATTGATAGGCTTCATGTCCGGATGTGATTGCTCCGGTTCTATCCTCCCTGCTGGCACAGCGATTAGCATGCCATCCGGGCTGAATTGCAACCGGCGGAAGTATGTCTGTAGTGTGTCGTCGTGAAAGAGGCGCACGCGCACCGAATGTAGACGGTGCTCAGGAGGGAAGGGGAGTGTCGCCTTGCTGCTTCGGGATATCACTTTCTTGGTTGATATGTCAAATGTACGGAACACCCTGAAATGTTCATTGAAGGTGAATTTGACGATCTCGTAACATTTTGCCCATAAAAAGTAGATAAATTGATATTCGGGTTTATGAACATTCTGCTAATTAAGATCAGAGGAATATGTATACTACCAGAGCTTTCTCCCGTTTGATATATCACTAAAAATATCAATCACAATGCTATGCAATACACAGTATCAAAAGAGATTTTGTTCACAGACTTTGCAG